TGATAACAAAAACTAAGATTCAAAATATCAAGAAATACTATGCAACATTATTTGATTTAGTTATTAGTTATATTAAGATAAATATTTAGAATTTGCAATATATATATATTTTAAATATAATTATATACTAATATAGAACAATAAATATAGCTTTTCTCAATACATACAGAGCTCAGAGCTATTTAGTTAGCCCTTCTTATAGCACTATATGAAACTGAAGTATATATCTTCACAGATAGTAAAGCTACAATAGAAGCTCTGAAAAGAGATAATACAAATAGCAGAATATGAAGCTAGTTCAAGCTAAGAAACAGAAGCATAATAAGTCAAATCAAAAGCTATTACAAGGCAAAAAATTTAAGTTTAATATTGTATAAGGTTAAAGGTTATAGCAAAAACAAATAAAATGACTAGGCAGATAGGTTAGCTAAGGATAGAATAAGAAAGTATATAAGTTTCAATATACTAGAGACAATACCTAACAACCTAATAGCTATATCTAAATAGAAAAGCCAAGCAATTAAAAGCCTTCTCAGATCTTTTATAAATATTATTACAGTAACTACATACGAAACAGAGTGAGCAAATCTAAGCAAAATAGCAGAAATTATATTTTATAACCAGAATTCTAACCCTAATGTAAAACTAAATTAGAAGATCATATAGAACCTGCTTAGGAAAATGCAAGGCAAAAAATGAATTAGTTTAAAAAAGAGCAAAGCTCTTATGTTCTATATAAAATGTATAAACAAAATTTTACTTACAAAAAACATTTGCTTTCAAGGAACTTTAGGTTTTACAAAAGCTGAAGATACATAGCCTGCTTCTATAAAGATGCAATTTTCTACTATTTGGCAGAATATGAAATCTATCAAAGAATCTGGAAAAAAGTTAAAATAGAAATTTTATAGCTAACTAGCTTAGAAGTTTCAACAAAATTAAATATAATAATAGAGGAAAATCTATTGAAAGAAGCAATTTATGATATAGAACCTATAGAAAAAATACAAAACAGAAGGATGTATCTAAGAGGACTCACAAGCATCAAATAGCTTATAAGCCTAAGCAAAGTAATATAATCAAAAAAGAAAGCAAGCAGAATCTTGATTAGCTTTATTAAATATTTCTAGGAGTACTTTTTCAACTATCTGTAGAAGTTTCAGTATAAAGTTATGACAGATTGTAAAAAGGAAAACAATATCATGACTAAGGATAAAAAAAGAAAACAAAACAGAAAGAAAGATGAGGACAAAGAAAATGCCTAATCTAACAATGCAAAAAAAGAAAAAACAAGTGAAAAAGATAAAAGAATACAAAAAGAGGCATTAGAAAGAGTTGACATATGAGTGTAAACTGGTAAAAAAGAAGAGTAGTTAAAATTAAAAATAAAATAAGTGATCTTAATAAAAGCTAGTAGTAGCCTTGCTTAGACCAAAGGTCTAGAGTTTGTACCTGCAGACTAAAGTTTTTGTAAGAGAAATTGTTGCTATAGCAGATTATATCTGAGCATCTCAAGGTAGCCGAGTGAGTTCAAAATGGTTAAAGGAGAATATTTTATTATATATTAGATAGTAATTTACTTTGTAGTATATATAAACTTTTTTTTAATAAAATAATAGGCAAGATTGTCAAAAAAAAAAAAAAAAAAGAACAATAAATACAGATTGCAAACAACAAAATTCAAAAATATGGAAAGCTATGAACTAAATTTAGAGTGATAATTAGTTCAAAACTTGCAAATCATAAAAGAGATATCTCATAGAATAATTACTCAATTGTAGTAAATTAAATAAAATTAAATTTATACTTGCAGAATTTTCTCATGAAAGTGTTTATAAAAAAAAATAATATATTAATTAATGTAAAAAATAATCAAATATATATAATAATATAGACAAGACTTCTGGTTGACAAAAATTCTCATCATCCAAAAGCACCTATTGAATTTGAGAAGCAGATATTTTATGGTTAGGTTTTATTTTATTTCACGCATAAATATGAAGGCAATATATCTATGCTTATATATATGCAATAGGTAAGGAATTTAGAAACTTATGGAAACAATATACTATATTTCTACAACTTTGGTAAAACTGAAGTTATTAATGCAGCTACTATTGACCATTGTGTTGAGTTTCTTAAAGTTACAGAAAATAAGTATTTTATTATAGATAGAGAAAGTTGGATCACATTCTGATAAAATTTAGAATATTTTATTTGTAATATGTTGATTAGTTAATGGATTAATAAGAATATTAAAGAAATGTTTTAATTCATAATAATATTGTAATAAGTATAATAATTAGATCATGCTAATTTCAAACTAGTTATCAGCCAATTTTTATTTTATTATAATTTTTCCTGTTAATCTTATTAATAAAAACAAATAGCTATAACAATAAATTTGCTTTGTTTAAACAAGCTAAATTAAAAATTTGACTTCGAATTTTAATTTGATAATGTAATTTTAAATCTGAATATTTCTGGGTTATTGCTGTATTAGAAAAAAATTTAGGAATACTTTCGAGGATAATATTTACACTAAAAATTTGATTTATGTTCTTAGAAAAATTTTATGAGCTTTTCCAGAATAATATTTACACTAAAAATTTAATTTATATTCTTAAATTTTCTGCTCGAAGTATAATTAGAATAGTTTCTATATGTCTAAAACAAAACCTAAATATATCTGTTACTAATTTTTTATAGAAAGATATAATCAAAGCACATATGACTATTATCCTAATATAGGATCTTTGCTTTCCAAATTGGGTTATGATTATTGTACTCCTATATTTGTTTTTTTGTTTTGCTTTACCTATTTATTTTACTTTCTTGTCTGCTTTTTTGAACATATTCTTTGAAGTGTCTTTCACTGTTTTTCAGTAATTCTTTAACACTATTTTTTTTTTTACATCATTTAGGTTTTTTTCGAGTTTCTTGTCTTTCAGCATTTCTTATAAACTTTCTTTTTTTTTTAGCATTTTCTAATAAATTCTCTTGTAGACTTTCTTTAGTCACTAATGCAACTTATGCATCTAGCAAGGATAATTTATCATCTGTGATAATAATATATCTCCATTGTGCTATCAACTAGATATTCGTAAAAATATCTAAAGTAAATAAAAGTAAGTATAATAAGTATATGCCTTAGTATGCCATTTAGAGCTATATTATAATTAAGATAAATTTATATATAATTTTTAGGAGTTCCACTGGATACAAGTATAAAATGTATTTGTATATAATATGTTTTATAGATTAATGAGTTTGGTTGTTCACAAGTTTTTCTTATTAAAAGGTCTACTGATTTTGCAAGAAGAATCGATTATTCTTTTTATAACATAGCAAAGAGAAGTCTAAAAATTTGTACATTCTCATCTTAATCATAATTAGTGTTTCAAGCTAAAGTAATTTCAAAATCTGAAATATTTGCCAGAGTGAAATATTTTGTTTTTTCACAAAAGTTTATTTAAAATTTTTAGCATAAGGTCTTTAATGTCTTTAAAATTATTTGGTATTTTGAAACTATTTCGATAAATTTATCATATCAAAATTCGAAAGTATTATCAAAGATCAAAAGTTGCTAAAAGTCTAATGTATTTACCAAAGTTAAACATTCTAAGTAGTGTTTGTAGTCAACTATTATTTATTGACTTGACTAAGTTAATATTTAAAAATCAGCTTAGCTAGCTAAGTCAGAGTCAATTATCCTAAATCCTATTTATTTAATTTTCGAAATGTATCTCAAATTTTTGTCTCAAACTTGCTTGTATTTTATGTTTGTTGATTTTCTTTTCAGAATTTGTTGAGATTCTACTATGACTGAGTGGTTACTATAGTTTTTAACATAAAATTAACTTGACTATGACTAAGTCGATTTTTTTGAAAAATTGACTGACTAAGTCAGCTAAGCTGATTTTATCAACTAATGCAAAATCGACTACAAACACTAATTCCAAGTTTATGTATTGCATTATTATTGTTTATTTATAATATAAGGTAAAGTGATAAAGTTAAAATTGTTATTAGTAAAATTTTATACTTTACTATATATCAACTATTTTAGAATATGCATAACAGTCACAGAAAATATTCTATTTAGTAATTGTTTATTATGCAACATGAGATAGCACTTTAATTAGTTTAATAACAAATAATATTTTGATCATTAAATGAATTTTATTTTTCAAGTTTTGAACTTTTGTTTTATATCAGAAATACACCCATCACTTAACTCTAATTTGAGTAATAATAGTTCGAAAAGTAGTATTTTTTAACATAAATACCAAGATTTTTTTCTAAATACTTTCATTTTAACTTAAATTTGTTGTTTCGAAGATAGTAATAAACAAATACTTCAATATATCTTATTAGTGCAAAAGTGTATTACTTGTAGGCTTTGAACATTCACTTAGAAGCATTTGTTTTTAAGATAAAATAAGCAATTTTGTTTAGATAGGTTGAAATAGATAGAGCAAAGAATAATATAGTTAGTATAAGAAACTTAAAAGTTGTTAACTAGCCAATATTAACAAAAGCAAAGTTAATAGAAATTCAGTTAGTGTTCTTAATAGAATTCTTACAAATAATAAGCAAGCAATAGAAAGCATAATAAAAGCTTCAATTCTGAACATATAGCAAATAGGTTAGAATAGATAACAGAATAATTCTAGAAAAAATTGCATTACTAAGATCAGTAATTGTTTAAAATCAAGTTTAATAATTAACTAATAAAATTCGGGTAATTGAATGCCCTGAAAATGTCCTTAAAGAGTATAGTAATTCTATGTAGCGTAAGTCATTTCAAGGCAAAGATCACATATACTAATAAATCTGGATTAAAAAAATATAAATAGTGTTTATTCTGATATTTGATTAGATATCGAATCCAAGCACTAATTTTTCATATATCGTAATTCCACTATTAATTTTATAATTAAACAGTGCAATAAACATGACTTTTGTAAAAATGAGATGATGAAATCACTCATGTTAATTTAATTGCCTACTAGCATATGCTTTTTTGCTTTTTTCTGCTCAATACTTCGTATCATTTTTGATTTCTCTACCTTCTTTATGTAATCTTTAATCTCTCTTCGAGATTGAGAAATTTCAGCTTGAAGGCGATGTCTTCTCTCAGTATTTTCGTTGACTGTGTAGTGATAAATTTAATATAAGAGAGCTTTTCTCACGCGATAAAAAAATATTATTATTATTATTATTAGATATTTCACCTATTGTCTCGGTTAAATTATTCCATTTGAATTTGGGTAAATATTTGATATTCCATAAATCATCATGATAGAAGTTACGTTTATTTCCACCTAGTTATATAATATATTAGCAAAGATGTAATACTTTGACTTGAAAATCAAGTTTTGATCATATTAATTGTCCCGTAAGGTCATTTTCAAGGAAAAGACCCGATATGATATAGCGCAAAAAACAATTCATTACCAATTGGTTGCGAGTTCAAAGCAGCAGCAACATTTTTTGCTACTTTTTTATCCATA